CCCAGTCTGTGCTCACCCTCCGGGCCTCACGGGAATATAGTCATGAGGGGTACCACAGGCCCAGTCTCCCCATCCCTCCTCACGTGGCCTCCCTCCCTCCTTCCCTCCCTCCCTCCCTCCCTCCCTCCCTCCCTCCAAGTTAACGCCCAGCAAGTCTGTCCTGGGGGAGGGGCAGGCCTGGTTCTCTTCTTCACTGAGAGACCCCAGAGCTGGGTTCTACAAATACCTGTCCCCCATATCTCCAAAGCCAGGAGGCCTATGTGCAGGGCTGCCTCAGTTTACCCCACTCAGGGGTAAAGGTGCCCTCTTGACAACCTTCCTGTGCCATTCACTCACACACCACAGGAAGACTGTCACTGACCTGCAGGACCAGGTGAAGGAGGAACTTCCTTCTCTCTAGTGGGGTCCATAGCCCCAAACCCTGTAACCTGTAACTCTCAGGTTCAAGAGCAAGCAATGACTCAGACGTGAACTGAGTGCCTACTGTGTGCTGGTTCCACAGCCTGAGGGAGGGAACAGGAGCACCTAGTTATGTATGGGTTGGGCTCTCCTTGTCTTAAACACCACTCCCTGTAAGGCCCCACCCCAGCCCTGGACGCTGAGGGTAACAGCCTAGCTTTGGTCTCAGTTCACGGTGTCACGGTCTGTCTCTAGGACTTTCATCCTTGGGATCCAAAGGACATTTGAAGCAAAAGCAGAAGAAAGGGGCTTTGGAGAGCTGGGTGTGGTGGTGCATGCCTTTGACCCAGCACTCTGGAGGCAGAGACAGGCCTTCCCTGAGATCCAGGCAGCCAGAGGTACACAACGAAACCCTGTCTTTAAAAAAGAAAGAAGAAAGTGGCTTACTGCAGAACCTTTCATTCATTCATTCATTTGCCTATTCGTATTCTTGTTTTTGTTTGTTTTGTATTTTGAGACAGAGATTCCTGTAGCCTAGGCTGCCCTCAAACTTTCTATCTAGCTGAGGCTGGCTCTCAACTCCTCATGACAGGGTGGACCACGCTAGGCTTAGACGGTGCTTCAGGAAGACTTGTTCTCTTGACTGGCTGGTAACAGGGCTCATGGAAAGGCACTTGTCACCAAGACGACAGAAAGCAGAACCTACCAGGCCACACACCCCCCCCAAATAGATAAATGGAGATAAATGTAATGTTTATGTCTTCTCTGAGCAGGCAGTGGTGGTGGCACACATCTTTAATCTCAGCACTTGGGAGGCCGAGGCATTTGGGAGGTGGATCTCTGTGAGTTGAAGGCCAGCCTGGTCTACAAGAGCTAGTTCCAGGACAGCAAGGGCAACACAGAGAAGCCCTGTCTTGAAAAACCCAAAAAAGAAGAAAAAACAAAAAGACCTGTCTACTGTCAAAGAACCTAGAGACGATGGCTCCCCACCCCCTAAACCACACACACCTCAGTATATGCACCATAAGGCCTTGTGAGACGATAGGATAGACCAAGCAACAAAACAAAACATCTGGACAGGCCTAGCCGGGGCTGGGTAGGCAGCAGGTGCGTTTTAACGCTTGCCTGCACTAGATAGGACCTGTGGGAAGGTTTCCCCTTGTGCGCGAGACCCTCAATGGCTAAGTCTTGAGTGTCACAGTCACCAACACACAGAGACAGAGACACTGGGCTGGTGAGGAAGCAGAGGGTGCGCTTCATTTCCTCATTTTAAAAAGGTTTTATGAGGCTGGAAGGAGCTGGCAGCGACCCAGAAAACAGGACGTGGGTCCCTTCGCAGAGGCTACGCAAACACCTGCGGTCACAGCCCCGGCGCCGGCGGAAGCAGCGCGGGAGGGGCGGGGAGGCCGCGGTCTTCCCGGTAACCCGACCCTCAGGAATGCGGCCGCCCCACGGGCCCAGCCACCTGGAGACGGAGCCCACACGCTCTGCCCCCACGCGCAGGGCCGGGCCGGGGGCAGTCCCCTGCCTTAGCTCCTCCCAGGGGCCCTCTTCGGGTCTTCCCATTATGTGAAGTTATGATCAGTTTCTGTCGATTCAAGTAAAGACTGAAAACGTAAACCAAAAAAGTCAAATTTATCTTCGCACTGGGGAAGGGCCCAAGAACCTGGGGGTTCGAATCCAGGCCCACGAGACATCGGGCTCTGTGTGGGGGCCGCGTCGTCTCCAGCCTGGGCTGTGGCACCCTGGGCAGGTCACTTCCTTCCCCAGACACTGCCCAGGGAAGACAAGCGAAAACAGAGCCCAAGTGGGCGCTGTTCCTGGCGCAGCCCCATTGCCACTGACAGACACAATGCTCCGGTCTCCTCCAGTGCAGCCCAGCGCCCCGAGACTCTCTAGCCCCCTCCTCTCCGTATTGAGGTTTTGAAGGTTGAGTAGGAATATTTTAGAGGGACCAAGAGCACCCCAAGACCGGCCGTTTAAGTTTCTCCAAATAACAAAGTCAAACAATGTCTGGCGGGGTGACTGGCTCTCCGCTAAAGGCGCTTGCTGCCAGGCGGGCGAGCCCGACTTCAGTGCATAGGACCCACCTCACGGGAGAGAGCAGACTCCCCAGGCTGGAGCCCTTCACAGGCCCCTCCCCCCAGAAATGCAACAGGAAATATTCAGCTCAGTCCGCGGGAAGCAGAGGGAGATGGATCTCTGAGTTTGAGGCCAGCCTGGTCTACAGAGCCTGTTCCAGGACAGTCAGGGCTTCACAGGGAAACTCTGCCCCGAAAAACAAGGGAATGTTCAGCCCTTACTGTTCTTAGTTTTCGCGTAAATACAAAAAGCTCCCCTTCGCTGGCAGGAAAACAGACTCACAGAAAGGTCCCCAACCAGCTCAAACAGGCGCAGCCTCCAGAGGGCCACCCCCTCCCCCAACGCCAAGGCCAAGGCCCAAGGTCAGGCGGAGCCTCCCTCGTCCCCAGCTCCGCTCAGGTCCCGAGAGGCGGGATGGGCGCCCCGGGCCGGCTGGCTGCGTGCCAGCGCTAGCTGGCTCATCCCTCTCGGGGGCCCCAGGCTGGGATCTGGCCCGCGGATCGCAAACCCCACGTGTGTACACCCTTAGCTCTGTGTGATTCCTTGACTACAAAACGCACTAAAGCCTGGATGTGGGGGCTTCCTGAGGCCACCACTGTGCAAGCTAGGGCGTGGGGGTGGCAGGAGGTGGAGCCCCCCACGGCCCTGAAACGCGAAGCACCTGCCACCGGGTGCTTCGAGTGGGTGACAGGTCAGATAGGGGTCACGGTGAGAGGTGGGAGGCCGAGGAGGGCTGTCATCTTGAGTGTAGTGGGGCCTGTCCCTCCCACTACCAGCAAGCCGAAAACCCGGCCCATCAGGCCTAGCGGGCATAATGTGCTAATTAAGGGGGGGTAATTACTGCCTGGATCGTTCACCAGCTCCACCCTGGGGCCCACCCCAGGCCCCGGTGGAGGGGGGGGGAGGGTTAGAATGTGTACCACCATGGCTGCCCCGGGCTGGGGCACCCAAGTTCTGTCCCTGCCGCAGCTCTGCGGGGCAGGCCTGTGTTCTCACTCAGAAGGCCGAGAAATCTAGCCTGAGCTACAGGAAATCTTGGCTCAAAAGACTCAGAAACAAAACCACAAGCCTATCCCCAAACTTGCCATAGTGAGGCGGTGCTTTGTCACTCCAGCACTTTAGCCACGGAGGCGGACAGTCACCGCAGAGGGTCACCCCTAGTCCGAGACCGGCCAGGCTTGCACATTCTGCACGGTGGCCTTTTACCCCAGCACTTGCCAGGCCTATATCTCTGTAAATTCCAGGACAACCAGGGCTGTGAAGCGAGACCATCTCTAGAAACACAAATCAAACTCAAACAACAGACCCAAGACCCAACTCTCACGCTGGGATGAGGTGACTATCGTTCCAGGAGCTGGGTACAGAGTGACTGCCTGTCCTAACAGTTAAAAGCAAGGCCCAGGACCCAGGAAGCGGAGCTAGGATTGCTGGGAGTTCAGGAGGTCAGTCTGGGCTACAGAGTGAGGTCCGGCCCCAAAGCATCCAAAACCAGGGCCTTGGGGGCGGCTCTGAAAGGTGCCTGAGCATCAGACTCCCACAAGCTGTCCTCTGACCTCCACAGGTGCGCTACACACACACACAGACACACACCCAGACAAACACACACTCACACACAGAGTAAAATGCAAAACAAACAAAACCGAAAGCTTCAGGCCGAGCTGAAGCGGTGAGGCCTGTTACTGAAACACTTGGGAAGGGGAGGCAGGAGGATTGAAGTGAGTTCATGGTTAGCGGAGGTTACAGAATGGGACCTTGTCTTAAAACAACCCAAAACAAACGTTTAAACTCTTTTTCTCACATAGATAACAAAATAACCACAAAAACTGGCGGCTTCCTGGAGCCCTGACCGAGTGGACTCCACATAGCCCACCCTCAATTTCCCCTCTGAAAGACAGGAAGTCGGGTTTTAGGCATCTTTCTGAATGACAGGACGCAAAGCACTTCCAACAACTTCTCCGGACTCTCCAAGGGACCTCCCCTGTCCTCCTCCATCCTGCCCTGCACCTGCCAGCCCCGAGCCAGGCCAAAGGAGCCCAGGCAGCCGCCCAGCCCCCTCAACGGGGCGTGGTCTGCGATGGGCGTGTCTGCACAGGGGGCGTGGCTTCTTGAGGCCCGGCTCATCACGCCACAGGAGAAGTGCCAGAACGGAGATGAGGGCAGAGACCCACACGATGAGAGCGGGTCAGAGAGCGGGTATGTCTCTTCACTAAGAGAGAGACATAGAGAGAGACATAGAGAGAGGCAGAGAAAAGGGAGGGAGAGAGGAGAAACTGGCAGAATGGAGGAAGGAGGGGAAGAGAGACCTGGCCAGGCCGCGTTCAGTCCCACCCCCATGACGTCAACCCACAATGCAGCGCGCTGTTGTGCCTTGTAGCGAGCGTCGCCCGTGGCAACAGCGGCCGCAGCAGCCACGGAGCGAGGGCGTCCTGGCCCCGCCCCCTTATGCAAATCTACGACGTCACCTCGAGCCAATGGCGAACGGGGGCGGTGAGATCATCGTGGGGGCCGAGGTTATAAGGGTGCGCGCGGTCGTCGCGGGGCAGAGCGGCCGGCAGCGGAGCCGGGCAGCACGGGCAGCGGACTGGGGGGCGCACGGGGCCCCCCGGGGAGGCCGCGGCCACTCCCCCCGCCCCGGGGCCGAGCGCGGCGGGGGAGGCGGGGATGGAAACGCCCTTCTACGGAGAGGAGGCGCTGAGCGGCCTGGCTGCGGGTGCGTCTAGCGTCGCCGGTACTGCTGGGGCCCCCGGCGGTGGTGGCTTCGCGCCCCCGGGCCGCGCGTTCCCCGGGGCGCCCCCGACGAGCAGCATGCTGAAGAAAGACGCGCTGACGCTCAGCCTGGCGGAGCAGGGAGCGGCAGGATTGAAGCCCGGGTCGGCCACTGCGCCTTCCGCTCTGCGCTCCGACGGCGCCCCCGACGGGCTGCTGGCGTCGCCGGACCTTGGGCTACTCAAGCTCGCGTCGCCGGAGCTGGAGAGGCTGATCATCCAATCCAACGGGCTGGTGACCACCACCCCGACCAGCACGCAGTTTCTCTACCCGAAGGTGGCGGCCAGCGAGGAGCAGGAGTTCGCCGAGGGCTTCGTCAAGGCGCTGGAGGACCTACACAAGCAGAGCCAGCTGGGCGCGGCCACCGCGGCCACATCAGGGGCCACCGCGCCCCCCGCGCCCGGGGACCTGGCGGCCACTCCTGGAGCCACGGAGACCCCCGTCTACGCCAACCTGAGCAGCTTCGCGGGTGGCGCCGGGCCCCCTGGGGGCGCGGCCACCGTGGCCTTCGCCGCGGATCCAGTGTCCTTCCCGCCGCCCCCCGGAGCGCTCGGGCCGCCGCCACCTCCGCATCCACCGCGCCTGGCTGCGCTCAAGGACGAGCCGCAGACAGTGCCGGACGTCCCGAGCTTCGGCGACAGCCCTCCGCTGTCGCCCATCGACATGGACACGCAGGAACGTATCAAGGCGGAGCGCAAGAGGCTGCGCAACCGCATCGCCGCCTCCAAGTGCCGCAAGCGCAAGCTGGAGCGTATCTCGCGCCTGGAGGAGAAAGTCAAGACCCTCAAAAGCCAGAACACCGAGCTGGCGTCCACCGCCAGCCTGCTGCGCGAGCAGGTGGCGCAGCTCAAACAGAAAGTCCTCAGCCACGTCAACAGCGGCTGCCAGCTGCTGCCCCAGCACCAGGTCCCCGCGTACTGAGCCTGAGCGCGGGGCGCATGCGCGAACTCGCTGCGGTGGGGGGGCGCCCAGGACTCCTCCGAGACTCGGCGCCCCCGGACTCGACAAGCTGGATCCCCCTTAACTCCGGGTGGGGACCCCGAGCGCACAGCCCCCGCCCTCGCGCCACCTCTGTCTCCCCAACCCCGCGCGTGTTGCACAAGCCCGTGCCCCGGCTGCCCCTTTGTGCCGCCGAGGAGGGGCTCCGAGGGGCGCGCAGCCTCACGCTCTGCCTTTCTTTCCTTTTTTTTTTTTTATTTTAAAATTTTTTCCCTTTTGGAAGAGAGAACGGGAGTGTCCGATTCCGCCCTATTTATGTTTCTACTCGGGAACAAACGTTGGTTGCGTGTTGCGTGTGTGTTTCCTTGTGTTGGTTTTTTAAAGAAACGGGAAGAAGATTAAAAAAAAAAAGCCTCCCTTTCCCCTCCCCCCTCCTCCCTCTCCCCCCCCTCCTCCCGACCTTGTCCCTCTCTTTTTGTTTGGTTTTGTTTTGCTACGAGTCCACGTTCCTGTTCCGTAATCCTTGGTTCGCAGGTTTTGTGTTTTCAGTAAAGTCTTCGTTACGCCAGCTTGGCTGTCCGCCTCCTTCTTCCCCCGCCGAGGCCGGTGGTGGGCAGGGCCTGGCCCGCTCCCATTCCCCCCCCCCCTTCAGCCCCTTCCCGCCCCCCACTCCCCGGCTAGGCGGGAGCGTGGCGTGGGCGCGGGCGGGGACCGCAGGTCTGCGCGGCGAGCGCCACCTAGGTGCAGGCTGTCGGCTCTGGTTCAGGTGTCATCAGAACTGGGCTCCTGGGCTATTCTCACTACTTAGCTGGTAAATCCTTTTGGGAAGAGGGGGTGAAATGAAAAGAGGGAGGAAGGGGTGCACGCACGCTCGCCTTATCCTTGGGGCCTCAGTTCTCCCGATCTTCGGCCTCCATTTCCATCCTGGTGTTTGGGAGGCTGCGCCATGCAGAGTGATTCTGGCCTCGCAGTCTGCGCTCAGTAGCAGCTTTTATTTGCCGTTATTGGTTTCAGGGGTACCTCAGGCCCACAGCCTTCTGTCCAAGATTAGGAGAAAAGTGGCACCTTAGAATAATGGAGGTGCATTTAAATATCTCCTCGACACGCCCCCTTCTCCACCACCTGTTCTCCCGTTTGAGGAAACAGTGCTTAGCGATATTGAACACCTGACTCATTCTATGTAGTTGTGGCTGTCCTGGAACTTGCTATGTAGACCAAGCGGGCCTGGAGCTGACACTGCCTCTGCCTCCTGAATGCTGCGGTTAAAGGGTGAGGTAGGGGGCTTTTCAGTCCTGTAGGGCCTGGGCTACAGAATGAGACCCTGTCTAGAAAAACAAAGGGCAGTAATAAAAAAGGAAGTTGAGCAGAGGTTTCCTGACCCAGGTTATGTAGTCGGGGATGGAGCCAGGGCTTCATCCATGCGGGGCATTCTCCTGCACCCAAGCTCTAGAGTTCCAGCTTGGGTACCATGCCGTGGCTTGCAGCCATCGGGCACTCTTCCTGTGTGGGTCTTGTAGGCTGTGAAATGGGAGTGTCCTCCCCCCATCCCTTTCAGAATGGACCAAGATTAGTGTGTCTGTCCCCCATTACAGAGAAGGGAGGCTTGGATTCCTATCTCACACACACACAGTAGGAATCTGAACTCTCCCTTGGCCTTTGGAATGCTGGGACGCAGGCCAGGAAGTCTGCTTTGTTTTCTTCCCTTTGCGGTGCTGGATGAGATCTGGGTCTTCATAAAGATTTGTCCTGTGGTTTGAGACAAGGTGTCACTCTGCAGACCTGGCTGTCCTCAAACAGATCCACCTGCCTCTGCTTCCTGAGTGCTGGGATTAAAGGTGTGTGCCACCACCGCAGCCACTGATGATGATGATGTTGGGAGCTTTTTTCCTAGCCAGCTGTGAGCCGCTGGACACTGCAGCCTGTGATTCGAGTCCTCAGGATGCAGACACAGGAGGACTGTCCCAGGCCAACCTGGCTGCACTGGGAAGCCCTACCTCAGAGCATGTGTGAGAGGTGGGGTCAGCAATTCAAGTACTTCTCTCTCTCTGAGCCTCAGTTTCCCAATCTGTCACGCAGGCTAAGGCCGCCTTACCAAACTTCCAAGGAGACATACCAAGCCCACCAGAAGTGTTCAGAACAGCTAATGGTCAGAGAGAAGCAGGGACAGGCACGGGTGTGCTCCTTGCACGCAGGCGGGAACCTGCAGCCCTTGCCCTGGCAGGCTAAGTGGTTCTGGCTTGAGCTGCTGTGCACAGGCCAAGGTGTGTGTCAGCCTTGGCCTGTGCTGCTGTGGCTAACGTTGGACATTGGGTGCTAGCCCAGACTGGGGAGGTGGCCTGGAACCTTGGCCTCACTCCACCTGCCCTTCCCAGAGCCGTGGCTCACAGTCTGTGCCAACTTCTTTGTTTTTGTTTTCTGTTTTGTGGGGTTTTTGTTTGTTCCTACACAGGACCTCGCTATGTAGCCCAGGCTGGCCTGGGACTCTTTGTTACCCTCCCACAGACTCCCGGGGGCTGGGATGGCTGCCGTGGGCAGTAAGAGTCCTCACGTTTGTCCTTCGTGTCCCACAGGGATGTCTCTAGGATAGCTTGTGGGTCCAGCAGATACCTGGGTGAAAGGCCTCTGTCCGGACACAAGAAGGGGAGAGGTTGGGGGTCACCTCTATGCTCAGAACCCTACATTTTGGTATAGGCTGTAACCATAGAGGCTTCTCAGCCCCAGTCTTGTCTGGGGGCCCCAGTCTGCCTTCTAGAACCTTCCCCTACACTCTGCTGGGGATTGGCCGGAACTCAGCTATGAGTCATAAAGACGTTTGCATCCCAGGGTCCCAAGGCTGGCCAGTGGGGCTGGTGGCTTCAGCTCTGGGGACAGGTGAGTGGGTTGGTGGGGCGCCACTTTGTCTCCCTGCTCTTGCCAAGACTATGTGTCCTCTGGGCTGTGGGAGCTCAGCTCCTCAGAGACAGTTTGGGGTCCCCCAAACCTTGATGGTACTTTGTGAGCTAAGATGAGGTGTGCTTGCCCTGTGTGACTAACAGGGAAACAGATGTGCTCACAACTGTCCCAGCTTGCCCTGGAGCCTTCCATTCCTCCTTCACCCCACAGTTCTGTTCCTCAGTTTCCTCCTGCGCTCTTGTCATGTCTTGGGTCACATTTTTAAATGGGCCTTTTTAAAACCTAGGGTCTCATATAGCTCAGGCTAGCCTTGAACTCACTATGTAAGGATGACGATGAATTTTTTTTTAAAGATTATTTTATGTGAGTGTTCTGCCAGAAGAGGGCGCCAGGTCTCATCACAGGTGGTTGTGAGCCACCATGTGGATGCTGAGAATTGAACTCAGGACCCCTGGAAAAGCAGCCAATTCTCTTAACCTCAGACCTCAGAGCCATCTTTCCAACCATGAGCATGAATTTCTTATCCCCCCCCCCCGTGTGCTGGGCTAAGAGGCTTGCACCACCACCACATCCAGCTTTTAGCCCAAGCTGTCCTGGAACTCTTGACAATCTTCCTGCCTCAGACACCAACATGCCTGATTTTATGGGGTGCTAGAGAGCGAAGCCTCTCATACATTCACGGAGGCTTTGAGGCTCTGCCACCCAGGGGCAATGCTAGCTGCTGCTTTCCAGTTCCCAGGGTCCAACCTCACTTTCCCTGTGCATGTCACCAGCTGTAGTGACAATTACTGATTGTGAGCCTGCTGACAGCCCGCCAATATGCTGGGGTGTCTCACAAGTGTCCTGTACCGACAGATGAGTGGTCTTGGGTTTGAGTTGCAGAGCACACAGGATGGGGGCTCAGTTGCTGACCCTATGCTGGCTCAATGTTGAAGCCAGGGGTGTCTTGAGGGCCTGGGGCTCACCGTGACTGCTCCAGGTCTGAGGACACCCCTAGAACCTGTCCCTAAGGTGAGGCCTGGAAGTCACCCTGCTGACTGGACTTAGTGAGCCGGGCTCTGCTGTGGATGCTGCAGTGAGTGTGGACAGGTAAACCCCACTTCTTTGACTCAAGTTTCTTTTGCTTTTGCCAGACAGGGTGATATTATGTCTGTCAGGTTGACCTCGAACTCACAGAAATCTGCCTGCCTCTGCCCCCCAAGTTCAGGGACCAAAGGTGTGCGCTATCCCATGCCTGCTCCCTTATTGTTTTGGAGACAGGGTCTCACTGGCCTCTGGCTCAGTGATTCATCAAGGCAAAGTGGCCAGCTGTCCCAGGTCCCTAGCACTGGCTTATAACCATGAGCCTTAGCGCCTGTCTGGCCGTTGCTGTTGCTGTTTTTGAGACAGGGCTGTTCTGGAACTTGCTCTGTGGGCAAGGCTGGCCTCAGACTCAGAGATCCATCTTACTCCACACAGCCAGCCTTTTTCTGGGCGTGCTCAGGATAAGACCAGCTGCATGCGTACATGCGTGCGGCTAGCACGGTGCTGGAAGGCTGAGCTGCACCCCAGCGCTGTCTGCTCTAATAATTACAAAGAGGCCTTTTAAAGCCCCCTCTACATAGGGCTTGAGAGAAGGCTACTGTTTAAGAGGACCCGAGTGGTCTCCAGTGCCCATGGCAGGTGGCTGCAGGAGCTCTCTTCCAAGGGCACCTGTGTGCTCATGGCGCAGGCCTCGTGTTTCTGTGAAACTCTGTGCCCGAAGAAAATGGGAAGGCAAATATCTGTTTTCCTTAGGCGTTCACACCTCTGTTCATCACTGAAGGAGGTCACGGCAGGAACTCACCCAGGGCAGGAACCTGGAGGTAGGAGCTGGGCAGAGGCCATGGAGGGGTCATCAATCACTAATTAAGAAAATTCCCCCAGGCTGGCCTACAGCTTGACCTCACTGGGACTTTTTCTCAGTTAAGGCTCCCTCCTCTCTGGTGAGTTGAGCTTGTGTCAAACTGTTCAGTGCATAAAACACTAAAGATAATTTTTAATGAAATCAAATGCTAAAAGGGGCTGGAGAGATGACGCACCCACATAGGGCGCACAGCCATCTCTAACTCCCACCCTGAGGACCCGACACCCTCTTCTGACCTCCAGACATTGCACACACACACAAAAAACACTCATAGATGAAGTAAACTGCAAAACTAAAACCAATAGAAGGTAGGGTGGGGGCGACTCAGGCTTTGATCCTAGCGCCTCCGAACAACCTGAACGGTTGCGTGCACCTGTAACTGAAGCATGCGCACGCATCCGACACGTGTAAAACTTTTTTTTATTTTGATTTTTTTCGAGACAGGGTTTCTCTGTAGCTTTGGAGCCTGTCCTGGAACTAGCTCTTGTAGAGCTGGCTGGTCTCGAACTCACAGAGATCCTCCTGCCTCTGCCTCCCGAGTGCTGGGATTAAAGGCTTGCGTCACCACCACCTGGCATAAAACTATTTTTATTTATTTATTTTTTCCAATTTTTTTTATTTATTAAAGATTTCTGTCTCTTCCCCACCGCCGCCTCCCCTTTCCCTCCCCCTCCCCCAATCAAATCCCCCTCCCTCGTCAGCCCAAAGAGCAATCAAGTTTCTCTGCCCTGTGGGAAGTCCAAGGACCACCCACCTCCATCCAGGTCTAGTAAGGTGAGCATCCAAACTGCCTAGGCTCCAACAAAGCCAATACGTGCAGTAGGATCAAAAACCGATTGCCATTGTTCTTGAGGTCTCAGTAGTCCTCATGTCCGCTACGTTCAGTGAGACTGGTTTTAACCCAGGCTTTTTCAGACCCAGGCCAGCTGGCCTTGGTGAGTTCCCGATAGAACATCCCCATTGTCTCAGTGTGTGGGTGCACCCCTCGCGGTCCTGAGTTCTTTGCTTGTGCTCTCTCTCCTTCTGCTCCTGATTTGGACCTTGAGACATAAAACTATTTTTAAAACATTATAGTCAGATGTGGTGGCTCATGCCTTTAATCCCAGCACTCAGGAGGCAGAGGCAGGAGGATCTCTGTGAGTTTGAGGCCAGCCTGATGCACAGAGCGAGTTCCAGGACAGCCAGAGCTACACAGAGAAACCTGTCTCACAGAGAAAAGTGAGTTGTTAAAGCCTCCACCTGTGACTGCGAATTGGTCTACTTGTATCTTTAGCACTGCCAGGTTTGCCTCCGTGTGGTTTGCTGTTATGTTCGGATGAGTTTATTGCCACTTTGTATCTTTTCTGTGGACACGGCTGTGACAGCCTGAGAACTCAAGCCCTTTGCGTGGTATATTTGTCTCCATTTATCTCCAGCACCCCCAACTCTTTGCATTTAGACTGCATGTCTGGGGCTGCAGAGATGGCTCAGTGATTAAGAGCACTGGCTGCTCTTCCAGAGGACCCGGCTGGGTTCAATTCCCAGTACCCACATGAATGCTCACAACTGTAACTACAAGATCTGACATCCTGGGCTGGGCGATGGTGGCGCACACCTTTAATCCCAGCACTCGGGAGGCAGAGGCAGGCGGATCTCTGTGAGTTCGAGATCAGCCTGGTCTACAGAGCTAGTTCCAGGACAGGCTCCAAAGCCACAGAGAAACCCTGTCTCGAAAGAAAAAAAAAAAAAGATCTGACATTCTCACACAAACATACATACAGGCAAAACACCAATGCACATAAAACAAAAATAAATTTTAACTGGGTGGTGGAGTTCCAGGATAGTCAAGGCTACACAGAGAAACCCTGTCTCGAAACACAAAAATAAATAAATATTTCAGAGGCACATATGTGGTGGTGAAATGGAATTAGACAGGGTCGTGCTCTGCAGCCCAGGCTGGTCTTCAACTTGCAGAGATTCACCTGCTTCTGCTTCCTGTGTGATAGGACTGAAGGTGCGTCACCAGGGCTGGTCATCTTTTCCCTTTTTTATGTGTATAAATGCTTTCCCCGCGTGTATGAACACCACACGTGTGCCCGGTGCCTACTGAGGTCGGAAGAGGGCGTCGTGTCTGCTAAGACTGGAGTTTCAGATGGCTGTGAATCATGTGGGCGCTGGGAACCGAGCCCAGGTCCTCTGCAAGAGCCACAGCACTGCTAACCACTGAGCCATCTCTCCAGCCCCTGGCCTTTTTTTTTTTTTTTTTGATTGACATGTATTAGTTTGTGGATGTGCAGAAGGCAGAAGGTGACTGGCAAGGGTTGGTTATATCCTCCCCTCTGGCTCATCCAGCTTGGCACAGTTACTCCCCACACTGAGCCATCCTGCTCCTGTGGACTGCACTTCTGGCTACGTGCATGTGCCCTGGACGTGTGGCTCTGTTCTCGCCCTTCTAGACAATAAAGACACGGACCCCTTCCTCTCCCCCACCTCTCATGTGTCCTGGGACCCTCCTAACCCCCATTATATAAGTCCAGGTATTAATTGCCAAGTAGGCACCCCTTCCTGTGGGTTTCCTTCCTCCATCCTGCCTCCTGTCCTGCCCCCGCACGGTCCTCCCGACTGCATGCTCCCATGACCTGAGCTCATATTCCTCCCGCCGCCATTGGTATTTCTAACAGAACCAGCCCAGAGCGCTGCTGTGCACATTTCTTGGAATGAAGAACTGAAGACAGCCTCCTCTTACAGGCCGGCTTCCAAGATTACACCTTCTTCTGCTCCTTTCCAACTCTATGACCTCCAAGGTAAGGAGATGGCTGAGCCTGCCCTGAGGAGTGGCCTCTCATGCCCAGATTAAAGGTCCAAGGGCTGCTGGGTCTCTATCGCTCTCTCTGCACCTGTAATTCACAAATATCTCCAGATTGTACTCCTCAGCTTCCCCTCAGTGACCCCCACCCACAGTGTGTTACCACCACGTGTCCCTGCTGTTCATCACGCTTCCTTCTGCCACCCCTCCACACGCACCCCACCCCCACTAGCTCTCCATCCACCCACCACTCACCTGTCTGTTCATCTGTCTGCCCATCTCCCCCTACTACCCGCCCAGGCTCTGCCTCTCCGCTCAGGAATGGCATCGATGCAGCCGGCAGCCCCACTCCTGTTCCCAAGCTGCGTGTCATCAAGTGGGCCATGCCTCCCTCAGCCCCAGCCAGCAACCCCTGTTCACCAAGAGAAAGTGGCCAAGACATCTACTCAGACCCAGAGTGAGTCCTGTCTGCCGAGGGAGCCGGCAGCACCACCATCACGACAGGTGCCCCACCTGAGGGCCGTGGTGGAGAGCCAGGCCTTCAAGAACATCCTGGTAGATGAAATGGACCTGATGGTCTCGCGGGCGGCCACCGTCATCCAAGCCAACTGGAAGGGCTACCGGCTGCGGCAGAAGCTGATCTCACAGATGACAGCAGCCAAGGCTATCCAGGAGGCCTGGCGCCGCTTCAGCACGCGCCGGCTGATGCGCTCCAACAAGCTGACTGTAAGGAAAGCCAAGAAGGAAGAGGAGGACGACATCCCCTACCACCCTCCACAGCAGGTGCGCTTCCATGCCCCGGAGGACCAGCTGCCAGTCATGGTGAGCAAGGAGATTCAGTTCCCGTCCTCCGACAACCTGGTCCTTTCACACAGCACAGCAGCAGGTCCCTGTGCCAGTGGAGCCCCTAGGGGTGGCCTTGTGCCACAGCAGCCTGTGACTGGCAGATTCACAGGTCCCAAATATCCACCCTGCATGTTGACCAAGTCTGTCAGGAGCTCCTGTCTCGTCAGGCACTTGGAAGGGAGCAGCATGGAGAGCAGGCACACGGCTTCCAGGACCATCAAGTCGGAGACCCCAGAGTCAGCAGTGTCTGCGAGATATGGCCAGGCCACCCATGCAACGCTGAAAACCCAGACCCAGGTCCACATGGAAGTAGATGTCCCCAAGGCCCCACTGCATATGTATCCGGTCAACAAAACTCCTACCAAGGTGTGCCCAGTGGCCCTGGCCACAGTGGCTACAGTGGCCACAGCACCCAAGGGTCCACTGCAGACCTACCCCACATCCCCAGGGGCAGTCATGAAGATGCAGCCACCAAGCTGCCCGACCTCCCCGGAGACCAGGCCCCTGGCTCATGTACGACCCAACCCTTCATTCTCTAGCACTCCGCCCCAGGTGCGCTCTGTGGTCCCCATGGCCAGGGCACAGTCCCCAGGATCTGGTATGACCTCCACAGTCAAGGTCTCACCACGCCTAGGGGCTTCTGTCAATAGGGGCCCACTTCAGACTGGCTCTGGTCCCATGATGACAAAAACTTCACCCCAGATGCGTTCAGTGACCAGAAGTCAACCTCAGACATGTGCGGCATCTTCTTCATCCAAAGCCTCCTCCCAGCCGAGCCCTACAGTCAAACTCTCACTTCAGACTCGCCTGGCAGCCATGATAACCAGGACCCCAGCTCAGATACGCTCTGTGGCTGCTGTGCTCAGGACCCTGTGTCTGGTCCCTACAGTGACAGCCTCAAGTCCCAAGGGTTCACCCCAAACTTCAGTGGTTGCTGGAATTCCCAACGCCCCATCCCAGGTTCACCTGAGCAGCCCAAAGGCCAACGTCACTGTGAGCACCAAGCAGACCACTGCGGTCGTCAAGGTGACTTCTCAGGCGTACTTGGCTGAGGAAAAGGGCAGGTGTGGACCCCACGGACATCTAGGCACTGTAACTCCTAAACTTCCAGCCAAGTCTCCATTGGAAGTAGAGAAGACAAAGCCTGGGCCCCCAAGGGCCCCCAAGAAGGAAGCAGCTCCCAAGACTAACATGGCCATTGTAGCCAGGGCTCTGTCTTGGACAAAAGTGGCAGAAGACAGGAGCAGACCCTTGACTCAGACCCAGCAGAAGGCAGAGGTTGTGAAGGTGCACTCCAGGGTGTATATGCCTGAAGAGATGACCGTGACCCTGTCCCAGGCCCAGCTGGCTGTCCCCCTGACCAAGGCTACCTCCCAAGCCCAGCCACTCCCTGGCCACCCCAGGCCCCTGCCAGCCGCACCCCTTTCTAAAGCCGTATCGCAGTCATCTGGGCTGGCCACAGGCCTACCTGAGGGACAGTGCTCACCCGTAGGTCCCTCTGCTGCCCTGTCCTCCTTGTCCCTGGCTGCACACCTGATGTCACTAACAACCCAGCTCCACCCTGCTGGTGAACAGAACAGTTCCATGTCCCGAGCTCCTCTGGCCACATCGTGTCCAGCCACAGGCTCCCCTCAGGCACGTTCCCTGGGGCTGACCTTCGTCCCCCCTGAGGGATACCCAAACACATGTCCGCCTGCCTCTACTTCCCAGTACTTTCACCCCACGAGAAACTCATTGCAGCCGCCTCCACCTGCTGGGCATGCAAAGATTATAAACACCAAAATTACCAAGGCCACGTGCCAGGTGTGTCCCCCGAGTAAACTCAGTAAGGCCCCATCCCTGGCCCAGCTCATCACATGTCTGGCCAGGGTTCCGTCCCAGGCCCATCTGCCCATGGGGCTGGTGAAGGCTCAGTCTCAGGCCCAACTGACCTCCGAAACGGCCAAGTGCCTCTTGGCTGCCCACCCTGCCACTGACCTCAGTGGTAAGGCCCAGTCACAGCCACTCCTGAGCACATCCAAGCCATCTGCCCAGTTCTGGCAATATATTGGAACACTTAACACTGGACCCCATGCCAAGCCAGATGACAAGAGTATGACCCAGCCCCAGCTCCAAAGCCACGTACAAAACAAGGCCACGCAGAACCCACGCTCAGTGGCCACAGATACCCAAGGTATGCAGGTACCTCTGCTGACTCCCTCTGGACACCCTGTGTGCAATGGAGAATCCTGGGGTGACAGCGGACAGGCACGGACCCCACCTCCGCCCCCTAGGCCCAGCCAGGCGGTGTCCTGCCATGAAGACCTGGCTGCGTCCATTGCATCCCTGTGTGCAGACTTGGTGACCATGCTGGGCTCCACCGAGGACCTGCGGACACTCCTGGCCAAGACACTTTCTCAGGGAGAAGTAAGGACAACGCTGAGCCAGGCTCTGTCCCGGGAAGTCTTAGGGCCTTCTGTGGTCAAGGCCCTGCCTCAAGGCATGCTGGGAATGGCACTGATGAAGGCACTGTCATGGGGTGAACTGGGCATCTCCCTGTCACGGGCCCTGTCCCATGGTGAGCTGCGTCCAGAACTCAGCAAGGCCACACAGGGCAAGCTGGCTGAGGTCCTGTGCAAGGCCTTGACGGAAGATGAGAGGGCCACACTCAGCCAGGCGCTGTGCCAGGGTGAGCTGGGAGCTGTTTTCACTCAATCCCTGGCCCAGATGGCCCAGAGGACAGGCACCTTCCTCCCCAAGGCCACCTCGAAAACGGTGGGAAGCCGGATGACCACGGCGCCTGCCCCAGTGGAGGTGGCTTGCAGCGGGAGTCTGTCAGTTGCGTGGGGACCTGCGCTGGGCCCTGTCCGAGCACGGTGTAGCAAGGTCAGGCTACTATGGAAGGGCTTGTCCTGGGGGCAACATGACGGGATCCTGTGGGGGAAAGGGGATGGGACTACATTGGAGGGGTCACCCTGCTTGCCACAGCCCCCCGTAGGCTCCTTTTCTGGAGGGATGGTCACCAGCACTTATCAGTGTCCTCCACTGTCCCGGGAGAGGGATTTGGGATACTCTTCTGGTCTGTACCTGAGGCCATTGGATCTTGACTCCATGGCATGTGGTGAGGGTCCCCATGTCCCCAAGCGACCTTCCCAACAACCACCTCTTTGTCCATGGCAGCCGCTTGTTGCTAACGGTGCAGGCCCAAGCAGTGAGCAGCCATCAGTGGCTAGCAGCACAGCTCCAAGCTCCCAGCCACCTGTGGCCAGCAGGGTGTCCTACCCATGGGTGTCGAACCGACAGGGCGGCGTGGTGGCCAGCAAGCATTCAAGTGGTGTGGGTGGTGGGAAACACCACACGTCACAGTGGCTCCCCACCCCCTGTCAGGGCAGTGAGTGTCAGTGTGGGAACCTGGGGACACACAAGATGTTTCCCTGTGGCCGATGCTCTTGCAGAGTCAAGAGTCGCAGTTCCTCACCCAGGCAGACAGACAGGCAGGCTCTGCCATTGGGTCATAGACTAATGTCACCGCTGGGCCTTAAGAAAATGGTCACCGTAGTGAGGAACATAACAGATGGCGTAAATTCTAAAGTCTCCTCCACGTCCACCCCAAAACAGGAGAGGCATCCCCAAGTGTCCTTGACCCCATCCTGTCCCCAGGGTCAGGCCACTGGCCATCACATGTCCCTTCTGGATGAGTTATTAGCCACATTCCCACAGCACCCACAGATGGTGTTAGCGAAGAGCTTCCCCAGGGGTTCAGCTGCCCACTGCCAGAACAGCAGCGGCTCTCACAGCTCCCTGCAGAGCGGCAGCTCAGGCAGTCCCTCCTCGCCACCCAGCTTGACTCCTTCCGAAGTTCTGGAAGGTTTCAGGGAAGGTGACATGCAGGAGGGCCCGCAGTCAGTATTGAAAGAGTCCAGGGAGGCGAGGCACAAGCCCCAGGGGCAGCTGGAACAAGGGCTAGTCGGTTCTCAGCAGGCGGAACACCCGTCCCAACAGCCGCCCCTGGAACTTGGGTCCCTCCTCCTCCATAGCACCAGCCTGGCCCTGAATGTTCACTTGGACTCAGATAGTGGATCCGAGTACAGCACTAGGGACCTGATGGAGGCCTTGTCCTGGGACACAACTGCTCCTTGGGGTAGGAGTCGCCAGGTCCACACTCAGCTGGATCCTCCCCTTCCTCCGGACACACTGGCTGATGGGAGAGCCCCAAGCCCTGGCCAGGCACCTGAAGCCAGTGAGGAACCACCATGCCAAAGTCAACCATTAGAAGCTACGGGGCTGTGTCCTAGCTCACCGCAGCCTGCAAAGTGCAGTTCTGTGTCCCCAAGCCTGGCCCAGGCATCCATGGACACTGGGGTGGCCCCAAGTCTGAACCATCCACCTGTGGCCGCTAAGGTGTTCCCAACTTTAGCCCAGCCATCTATGGACACTGGGGTGTCCCCAATGCTGAGAGAACCACTGATATATTATGAGTTACCGACAAATTTTAATCAGCCATTTCTGTACTGTGGAGGGTCCCCAATCTATACCCAACCATATATGGCCTCTGGGGTACCCTCAAACTTTACCCAGGCACCTGGTACTAGTGTAGTGGCCTTAGGCAACCAGGCAGTGAACAGTGGGGTAGCTTCAAACCAGGCCCAGTTATGTGCCACTACCCACATGGCCCCAAGTGTCACTCAGTCCCCTGTGAACAGCTGGCCACCTCCTGGATCCTCTCCCATGCCTGTACAGGGTGCAGGGTCTCCAAACTCAGCTCAGACATCTGTAGCTACCGGGGTATCCCCGAACTTTTTCCAACCACTTATGCCCTACAGCCTGCCATCAAATTTCACCCAACCTTGTTTGGCCACAATTGTAACCCCAAACTTTGTACAACCATCCATGCCCCAGAGCGTGTCTGCAAGCCTAGCTCAGCCTTTTGTGGTTAGTGTTATGTCCCCAACCCTAACCCATGCATCCATGGCCGACAGGGCATCCCCAGCCCTCAGGCAGCCAACCTCAGCCAGCGGTCTGGTCCCTGGAGTGCTCCAGATGCCCCTGTCCAACAGGGCACCCCCCAGTCTGAGCTCTCCACTTCTGGCTCCCAGACTGTGCTCTAATCTTGTGCAGACATCTGTGGCTGCCTTGGGAACCCTGAGCCTGCTGCCGCCCACTGTGGTGTGTGGCATGGGTCATGGGAACAGCAAGTCAGCTCTGGGCCCCCAGCAGTGTGCACGTGAGGACAGCAGTGCAGCTCAGAGCCAGCCCTCCATGCCCTCTCCGTATGTGAGCAGGTTAGGCCAGCCCTATCTAGGAGTCTGCGACAGCTCAGGAGACAAAAAAATCAGAGGCCAGGCCAGCCCTCAGGATGCCACTGTCTACTCTGAGCCGACACAGTCCAGCAAGGGGCCCCCAGGTCCGGTAGTCCAGCCCATGGCGCCTGCAGAGGATGGTGGCCTGGCCTTAGGGGCTAGTGTCCCATGTCAGACTTGGTTCAGGGGCATAGCTCCAGGAATGCCTCAGGGGCCTGTGGCTACGGGACTGTTGCTGAGTATGTGCCAGAAGGAGAACCCAACCCCCATGGCTGTGGTGACTACAGGTGTGGGCCAGGGCCCGTGCCCGGCTGTGTTGCCGTCCGAATTCTTCCCACCCCATCTGGGCACCAGCTTCCCTCAGACCTGTACAGACCCTCAGCTCCTCTCTGTGGCCGCCGTGGTCTCACCCGGCTGTCAGTATGCAGGTGTGGACTTTCCAGAAGCAGCTGTGGCTCCTGTGGGTGGGGCTTTGGTCCAGGGTTCCGTAGATGGAAATGTGCCCTTGGCACTGGTCCCCAAGCCTGTGGTTGAAAGTGAGGCTCTCAGCCTTCCTCAAGGGTCTGTGATCAGGGGCATAGGAAAGAGTGTCCCCCCAGAGTCCATGGTGGATGTCAAGGCCCAGAATCTACCTCTAGAATCAGTGGTTAGCAGTGAGATTCGGAGACCCTACCAAGATGCTATGGCCAGTGATGTGGCCTTCCCACCTGGTTCTGTGGTCACTGGCATGGCCCCTAGTCACCCTCAAGAGACCAGTGGTAATAAGGAGAAACCTTTGCCAAGGTCCCATTCTCCAGGCCCACACCCAGGTAGTGTGGCCAATGGGATAGATCCTAGCATGCCCCTGGGCTCTGTGGCTCCAGCATCCATGCTGGCAGGCATCAGTCCACGGCCATATCAGGCAACAGAGGCTGGAGAGGGCTCCTGGGTTCCCTTCCTTTCACCCCATGTCATCAACCTAGCCAGTGTCCCAGAAGTCCAGAGAGTGGCCCAGGACCAACAACACTTGCCCAGAGTTTTGTTAAGTGCCTCACAATTTAGCCAAGACCCTGGGCTGACAAAGCTTGTGGGTGTTGATAACCCAACCTTGCCGAAGCTAAGAGAAGTCGATATGGTGTCCTGGACCCTGGAGTCTGGCATAGACACTGTCAAATCTGAAGGTCTTAAAATCATCCCAAGGACGGGCCTTGGCACCATGGGAGGCAAGAGCCATGAACTTGCGGCTTTGGCAAAGGAGGCTCCCAGCCAAGCTAGCGGTATCACCTCAGTTCCTGTACAGGCCCCAAGTTTAGGTGAGCACCCCAAAGCCAACAGCATCACCTCTGTTCAGCCCTTATCCTCAGAAAGCAGCAATGGTCCTCCCAGCATCCACCCTGCTTCTGGGCACCCGAGCCTGCAGGAGGTCCCTGTGGTTGGCAGTTCAAGCCTACCTCCAGCTTCCAATGTAATCTTGGTGCCACCACAGCTGAGTTCCGGCATTGCTGGCATAGCCAAGTGGCCACTGGAGTCAGAGGTCAGTGCAGGAGACCCAAGCATTCTCCAGAGCTCAGGGGGGACTAACTTAGCACCTCCAACTAAAAATAGGGCTTCTGGTGTCTCCCAGATGGGAGAACCCCAGCATCACACCGCCGCTAGAACGTCCTCCCGCTTCATCCGAGGCAGCCTTGTCTCAGAACTTCTAGAAGGTTCCATGGGCAGACTGCTACACTTCAGTAGCCCACTGAAGCCAGCATCTCAGCTTTCATCAGAGAGTCACAAGCAGTCCTCGGGGTCACCCATGGTGGGAGATGGAAGGGGACAGAAAGCATGCACAGGAGTTCAAGGGATGTCACCAAATGGCTCCCGGAGACCCCTTCTTGATGAGGCTGCCCACGACACCATACATTCGGGCCAGCCAGGAACAGGTCCGACCCTTATCACACACCCAGGTCAGAAGCCCACTTTTGTCACGGGCCCTGGAGTTGGCTATGATGGGGGCTCCCAAATCCCCACTGCACCGCATGGCTACAAATATCATGTCACAGTCCCTAAAACTAGTTTTGATAAGGGTCCCCGAAAAGTCCCCGCCATGCTCTATGGCCACAGACTTCAGTATATCACAATGCCCAAAACAAGCCTGGACGGGACGTCCCAGGCCCGCACCACAGCCCACAGCCAGACTCCCCAAACTGGCTTTGGTTCGGTCTCCCATGCCTACACACGCCACGGCCACAATCCCCATCTTGTCACACACCCTAAAACTGGCCATAATAAGGTATCCCCACCCCTCACTGTACCCCAGGGCCCCGTGGATGCTGGCCTGGCTGCTAGCCAGTCATGGAATACCAAAGTCCCCAACGTACCGGCCAGAGCCGCGGCAAGTGCTGGGCCACCCCAAGGCCCGTGGCATCCCAGCAGGGGCCACAGGCCCTGGGACCCCTCGGGGGCAGAGGCAGCGCTGGACCACAAGCCCTCAGCTGAGCTGCTGGTATCAATTTGCGCCATGGAGAAAGTTGTCCTCGAGGCTGTCGTCACCATTCAGGCCTGCGCACGTGGCTACTTGGTGCGCCGCACTGTGAAGCTGTGGCATCAGTGGGCCACCGTCATCCAAGCTACGTGGCGTGGCTACCGTGTGCGACGAAACCTGGCGAGGCTGCTCAGGGCCACCACCGTCATCCAGGCAGCCTGGCGCGGCTACTGCATTCGCCGTGACCGGGCCCACCAGGTGTTGCTCCCTACGATGTGGCCTGAGCACCGTGGCAGAGCCCAGGGGACCTCTGACACCAGGAACAGCTCTGAGCACCGCTGCTTCCTGTCCTGTCAACCCAATGTCTGCAGCGTCTGCCAGGCCCTGGGTCCTCGGGTGGCAAGTCCACCCAGTGTTGTGATGCTCGTGGGGTCCCAGCCACGCACCTGCCACGTGTGTGGCCACACACTGTCTACTCGCGTGGTGCAGGGCTTTGGCCAGGGCATCTCAGGCCAGTCTGGCTCTCGCTGGGCAGTGCCCCCTGCTCAGTGTCCCCTGCTCAGCCAGCAGCACAGAGCAGCCACTCTCATTCAGGCGGCCTGGAAGGGCTACCGGACCCGCCGACAGCTGAGCCAGCAACAGTCTGCAGCCAAGATGGTTCAGGCCACATGGAGGGGACATTATACACGCAGCTGCCTCACCACGGATGCCCTCTTGGGGACAGGAGGCCCGTGGAACATCTCCAGGGAGACTTCACGCCGTACCTCGAGGGCTTGCTCTTTGCACTGGCCTGGTGTCTAGGAGCTTGGCTGTGGGCAGAGACTCTTGGTGGCCGTGGTGTCCTGTGGCTCTTATGAATACAGTGCACTACAGCCTGCCCTGGTCACGTGTCTTGAGTTAAAACACAACAGGAAAGTCTAGCATGTCGGAGGCTTGAATCCCAGCAGCTCCAGCCCCTGTGGGATCTGCAGCCAGGGTTAGGGAACCCCAGTTATTTTCCAGGGTGTACAGGTCACTAGCGTGGAATCTTGTGTGTCACATAGCTAATGGCGTGGCTTATCTGGGGCTAGCAAGATGACCCCTCCTATGAAGGTGCTTGCTATTAAACCTGTCTTCCCCATGATGGGAAGAACTGACACCGCCCGCAGGTGTCTGTCTGTCTCTCTCTCTCACACACACACGTTTACACACACACACACACACACACACAAAGCACACATATATAACATACACATACACACATAGCATGCATACACACATGCACACAAACATACACACTCCCACGTCTGGCTGGGTGTGATGGCACACGCCTGTCACTTCAGCACCAGTGGTGGGGGCAGGAGACTCAGGAGTTTTCGGCCAGCCTGGGATATATTGTGAGACCATATCTGAAAAACAAAGATCAACAACCAAACAGTGAAAACATGCCTGGCCAGGCCCAACCCACTTTGGCTTCCTCTTGAGAGTACCTCCTTCTGAAACCGCTAGAAGGTTCTAGTTGTATCCACTGGTGAGGTGAGCCGGAGAGAGACAGAGGCATCCTCAGCCCCAGTCTGGAGGATCCTGGCAGCCAGAGACAAGGGCTTTCAGCTCAGGTTTGGGAGACCGTAGATGGGCGGTCCCAGAGTGGCTGGGGACAGGGAGGGTGGGAAGGGAACCCAGCGCCCTGCGCACCCCGCTCTCGCCGGTAGGGGGCGCGCGGGCGAGCTACCACCGGCCGCGCACCTGCAGCCTGGGCGCTCGGCGGGAATGGCGGGTTCCGGGCTACTGCCGCTGGCGCTGGCCGTGCTGGTGCTAGTGAGACCCAGAGACTCTTCTGTCGTCCTTGTAGTCACAGGTAAGCTGGTGGAGGAAAATGGCGTGACTCCGGGAGACAGCGGGGCTGGGGGCACAGGGCTCGGACCCTCCCAGACACCAGCAGGGTTGGTGCCCACCCCTGAGGGGCATCTGAGCTGGGACACAGGCCAGTGACCTCCCTGACACTTCAGTGAGGACGCCACCCACCCCCGGTAGTGGGAAGGGCAAGGGATCGGGCTTCAACTAGAAGTCAGTGGCCCCACAGCTACCCCCGAGACGGCTGAGTTTATTGTAGGTGATGGTTTCATTTCCAAAAGTGCCACATTTATCTCTGGAAGCCGGGCTGGCTCCAACCTGTGGACGACCTTATTAGGGTCGATTGACAGGAGTTGGCACCCGCCAGACTTCCATTTTGGAGACTGAGCAAAAGTCCGATGCCAGGCACACTGCCCAGAACGGCCCTACTCTGTGTGTTACTTTCAAGTAAACCGTGAGACCTGCTCAGTGCTAGGTACTTAATAGGCTCGGTGTTTGCCGCCCCTCTAAACTCTCTGGTTTCTTCAGCTCACCAGGACCTTAGTTTCCTTCAGAATTCCAGTTTGGATTGGGGTCGGCTATGGGGCTTGAGCCAACTTCACTCTCCCAGAGATTTCCCAACGGCGACTCACACTCCTAGATGCTTTTCAGCCAGGGAGACCGAGGAGTGGGAGGACTCAGCTCAGCGCTGCTCCCCGCACTCGGGGCAGCACAGAGACCTTATTTCCTCATATCTACTGTGTGGGGTGAGGCTAGGAGGAAACAGCGTGCATCGTGGGAAGAAAGGGCATGGGAGGGGCAAAGCCACCATGAGTGACCTTGTGCCCCGCACACCTGGGTTGGAGCCACCGGATCTGGGAAGGAAGACGTAGGGGCTGGATCAGGAACTCTTTCCACGGTCTCTGAACTCCTCCAGGGATGGGGTGTGAACCAGGGAGCCTCAAGACACAGTGTCAAAGAGCTGATTGCTGGGATTGGCAGGGGCTAGGGTATGTCTCAATGGTAGAGTTTGTGGCCAGCATTTGGGGCAGAATTCAAATCCTAGTATAGATCAGAGTTCCTCAGTTCTCAAAGCTCTAGAAACCTGGATGGGGTGGTACCTTCTCCTGAGGAATCGAGCTGAGACTCAGTTTCCCTCTTCTGTAAAGCGGGAGTCACAGTCAGTGCCTGCCTCCTAACAGGTGGCACTCGGCCCAGATCTGAATCAAACCAAAAAAAAAAAAAAAAAAAAAAAAAAAAAAAAGAGATGGGGTGGGGGTGGGGAGGCTTTCACAAGCTGAGCAGGACTGAGATCAAACCATAAGCAGACCACCTCCCCCCACTATCCTAAACACCTCTCCTTGTTTTTTGGTTTTTTTTTTTTTTTTTTTTTTTTTTTTTTT